AATACAATATATGTTACCAGCCAGTGTAGGAAATTAGAATCCTGATGGTTTACATTGATAACAGCTAAGAATAAACATCTAGAAACAACAACAGTTAATTGACCTGGGTAGGATGAAAGGATTGTGGAATTCCATCTGAACTACTTTAGCACATGTTTTATAACTTCAGTTAGCAGAAGTAATGCAATTTTAAAGTTTCCAACCAGTCTAGATAAAATCATTTACAATTGTATTATATATTATCAAATAGGTTTAGTACAATGTGTTATTTATGTATTATTGGAATATGTCAGATACTGTTAAACATGCCATTTACTAAAAACTCTGTTTCAAGTGGATTTGCACAATTTCCCTGCCATTAGAGATCAAGCGTTTGCATTGTTGAGAAACTGTTATTACTTCAGAACAAAATATGATTAGAAACATTCTCTGTAAAGATGATTGTCTTCATGGTGATTATTTTTCTTGTCTGTGCATCTGTTGTTTGTATAGCTTATACAGCAGATTATAAATCTGTAGACATTGATCAAAGCTCAACAGGTCAGTTCATATTCACACCATGATATTATTCTACTTTCATAGGGTCAGAGGTCAAGATTAGTTATACTTTGATGGTCAATGGTTGAGGTTATAGGGTCAAAGGTTAAGGTCGGTCTTAGATGGTCAGTGGTTAAGGTTATAGGGTCAAAGGTTATGGTTAGTTAGTCTTTGATGGTCAGTGGTGAAGGTTAAAGGTCAAGGGTAAAGGTCACACTTTACCAGTTTCGATAGAGGTAAAAATCTGAGTTATAAATTGTTTTCACTTTTTTGTGAAAGTGTGGGGCAAAATTATCAGAAACAATGAAAAACAACAATTAGAGTGGAGATGGGGAAACCCAAAAAGGAAAAAATAGAAAATAAATATGAGATAGGTAAAGTTTGATGGAGTCAAATGAAGAGTTACAGTGAATAGGAAGTGATGAATTAAAAGAAGACAAAATGAGAGAGAAAAAAAAAGAAAAAGAATAAATAAGGAAATTAACCCTGGTGTGAATGACTGTGGGAGGATTGAGATAGAACACTTGGCAACCTTTCCAGTTTTATCTTGTTATCCCACTCGATTACTACAACAGAACATGTAGAAGGTGTAAGGGCAGAGTTATCTGCTACAGGCATGGGGGAATCCAGAGAGTCAGCGGACCATGTCTGCTCTTGATGGAAAACTTCCCTGTTACTTATGATGCAGATCATCATCATCCTTCTTGTGTTTGTCGATTCTGTGACCTTTTGACATTCAGTGTACTGTTACTGCACATACCTCAATGAAAGATAGGAGGATATGTCAGTATAGTAAGCATGTTATTGTTATTTGGAGTTATAGAGGTTTCAGATTTCTACAACTGCATATTAAATGAGAAATTTGGACTTCCGCCCTTGAAATTAATACCTGTTTATTTTTAGCATTTTATGTGTCTTTTAGTTACTTAGAAGGCTATTAAAAATGATTTAGTTACATGTATGCATACTCTAGAATGGGGAAAAAACAGTAACTTTCTCTCTAGAAATCCATCTGGAATACTTGTATTGACTGTTGAAAAAAGTAGGCTTTCTTGCTGTTAACCTTGAAGTTTGTGTGTTAGAAGACCAGGAATTGTATAACAAAACTAGGTAAGGCCTACTGTAAAAACCTATCAGTTTGGTATGATTTTGAGATGACGTTTGGTAAGATTCACTACATCGCTGCTTGTCTCTAATATAAGAAATTGTTACTTTTTGAACCTGCTCTGATCCATTTCAGTGCCACCCTCTGTTTTTACTTGTGACATGATGGAATCTATCTCAGCTCCAAAGTATTATTGATGTAGGATTCAATGTTCTGGCAAGGCAGCTTGCAGGGTAGACTGGAGTAATGATGTAATTTTGTAGTAGGGTCCCTAGGAGCTATCCATTTTCATTGTCTCTGGCCTAATGGCATTTTAACGTAACTGTAAAGGAAACAAGTCTAGGAATAGTCTGTCAGCGGCGTCAATATTAGTCGAGCAATGCTTTATTTAAGGCGTATAGCTAGGCTAAGACATAGAGTAACATAGCGCTTGGATTACACATATTCTCTTGAGTTGGAATAGCATTATAAATAAAAAGTTATTGATAATAGTAACCATTGATTTATATGTGTATCGGAAGGGAACAATGACAAGTGATCTATCTGGAAAATCAGACATGTGATGTTTGATGACCCAAAAAAAGAAAAATGAAAATTGAAGTTTGATGACAAAGATTGATGACTTGGAGAAGGATGGCAAATTATGATATCTCCAAGGAGCCAGAAGTGTAGTTTGATGATAAAAACATATATCCAAGGGTTTACTGAAGGAGGAGGAGGACGACAACTTGAACATCACCCTGGAGACAGAAGTGAGGTTGGACAATAGAAATGTTCGATCTCAAAAGGAAGACAGCAGCTTAGTAATATTGCCCAAGAGATGGCAGCACAGTTGATATTACTTCTAGGAGAACAATTCAGTGAGCCTTACAGGAAATACTGTACAATTTCCTTTATTATATAATTGTGTGATATATTACATCACCAAAGGAGATGACTGCTTTATCTACACTCATAAGTATGCATCATTTCTTGTCAAAAGCACACACCTTACTGTATCTTCTTACTCTGTGTGTAATGATTGGTTATTTTCTTCTCATGTTTTAAATTTACTGAATTAAATTATCATTTTTTCAGAAAAATTCTTATGGTCCTGTAAAGTTTAGAGTAAAGTAGCACATACAGTGAACACTCCGACTTTGACAGAACATGTGACAACATGGTTGTGAAGCTATGTCAACAAGAAAATACACTTCATTGTTACTGGGAAACACATTACTTTCTTATTGTGAATGTAATAATGATAAAATCAGCATCATTTGTTTCATATTTCAGTTGTGTTCTGAAACCTTTCACAAGTGGGATGTAGATTATACTTTGTGGAATATCAAGACATTCCTGCAGTAGAATCTATATATCACAAACATAAACAAAACATAACAATCTTTAATGCCTGTTAAAATGGATACTAGCATGCATAAAAGCAATCCTGTTCAAGAACCTGTTCCTTTTTGAAGGACTTGTCACACTGTCTGGCCTATCGACTTGAGTTGAACTTGACTGATACCTGATATGTAATAGTACTCTTCTCTGTCTATCATCAAAGTAATTTATTTACATTGTGAAGAAAATAACCCCAAGTTCAGATTAAAATATATGAAGATGTGTGTGTCTCAGGTTCAGGAATGGAAAGTCCAGAGAACTGAGGAAATATTACTTTTGTGAGAAATGTGTCTGGCCACTGTAATGGAGTAGAGAAATGTTTTCACCAACATGTATACAGTCACATACCAACAAAACATTAAAAAGAATTGTTTCTTGGGACTCTCTGCTTACAATCAGTCATTGATTCAATTGTTTGTATGTTGTAATATAAAATCATACATAAAATACTGAAAGGAGAGAAAAAAACCCAAAATCAGAATCATGAAATCATTGTATGAAATGACATGGGATAGATTTGTGATATCATTTCAATCAGATTTCACCCTCAGTCCAAAAACATTTGTATAAATGTCATTCAAGGTTCATAAAATCTGCAGTGTTACATGCCTTAACATTCAATTTGTTAAAATTTTCCATTAATTACTGAACAAGTATTGGCTTTCATGGGCTTAAACTACACTGTTATCTCTTAAGTCCAAAATGTCCCATATTCCATTTATTTTATATTCCAGATTGACAGTATCATTTATAAGAAAGGTTGGAACTGTTTGGCTTTTGGTAATTGTTGAAGACTGACAGATTACCCTTCTACATGTCAAAAGGGTCTGTCAGATCATATATTATTTGATTTATATGTGTTGTGTGGTTAATGTGAGAGAGAATTCCCCTATGTTTTGGGCTGTCAATACAACTTTGCTCCAAGCTAACAAATGACTGAATATTGAGCTCTTTGATAGTTTTTGATTTATGACAGTGGTAAGTGACAGATATCAATAGAACCTTATTTGTGTTTCCATTTCTTTGAAGATTTATGATATTATTCCTTAACTGGCTTCATAGTAGTAAAATTTTAAGAAAGTTTTGTTTAATATCTTATATTGTCATAAAAAAGCCATATGAACACATTGCCCATTGCTGTTTTTCAATGATACAAACTAAAAACTTACATCAGCCAAAAAGAGCTCCCCCTTTCCTTTGCTATTTTATTGTTCTTAGGATGCCTAATTTGAATGATTATGGTACATTTCACAAGGTGATATAGGAGAATGGTCCTCCTTCTCTCTACATTTTCCCATTCATGTGATACTTATTTTGATATACAGTTGTACCAGATGTGTACATTATACAAGATTATATGAGAATATTCCTTGTTTCTGACATTTTGTCCATACCAAGAGTGCTTATTTTGATATGTGTGGTACAAAATGAGATAAGACAGAATATTTCAGTAAGGTATTGATAACAGGCCCATTATGCCATTTATCTATGTCTGGGGTGTGTGTACTATAACATTTATTGTACAGAATGTAGAATAACAAGTGGCTGACCCTTGACAAGGTTGGTAGATTAGACGTGATGCATTGGAAAATTGTCGAGTCTGATGGAGTGTCCACACAGGATAAAACAAACAAGCATCGATGTATAATCAATGTACAAATCACCTCCAGATTAATACCACAGACAATCTAGTTTTAGTATATTCTAAAGAATGACTGGTATTCTCCAAAATCAATTCCACTCCTCAGTTATTCCTATTGATTATCCTGTTTTATCCTATGTAGGACCTGTTCATCCTCATCTTATGAAATCTGGACCACATTGCTGGTGTCAGAACTTGGACACTAACCAAGGGAAAGTTAATTTAATATGGTGGAGAATTGGTATTGTTATTGAATAATTTTGCTGAAGGTTTGATCCTGTATGATATCTTGTTGAGTCATGTTGTTTGATATATAACTTTTGTATTTTTCAGATAATTCATGGCACAGCTACAGGTATGTACTCAGTTTTACTCTCTTCATATGGCCAAGTTAATACAATTAACTTCTAAAATAAGGTGTACAGAGTGCTGTATTTGATAGTTAAAAAAGGGATGATGGTAATGTTATTTAGTACAAAACACACTTGAGATGGTGGTATGTGTTGTTTAGTACAAAACACACTTGGGATGGTGGTATGTGTTGTTTAGTACAAAACACACTTGGGATGGTGGTATGTGTTGTTTAGTACAAAACACACTTGGGATGGTGGTTTGTGTTGTTTAGTACAAAACACACTTGGGATGGTGGTATGTGTTGTTTAGTACAAAACACATTCGGGATGGTGGTATGTGTTGTTTAGTAAAAAATATACTAGTGACGGTGGTACGTGTTGTTTAATACAAAACACACTTGGGATGGTGGTATGTGTTGTTTATTAAAAAATATACTAGTGACGGTGGTACATGTTGTTTAGTACAAAACACACTAGTGACGGTGGTATGTGTTGTTTAGTACAAAACACACTTGGGATGGTGGTATATGTTGTTTAGTACAAAACACATTCGGGATGGTGGTATGTGTTGTTTAGTAAAAAATATACTAGTGACAGTGGTACATGTTGTTTAGTACAAAACACTCTAGTGACGGTGGTATGTGTTGTTTAGTACAAAACACACTTGGGATGGTGGTATGTGTTGTTTAGTACAAAACACATTCGGGATGGTGGTATGTGTTGTTTAGTAAAAAATATACTAGTGACGGTGGTACGTGTTGTTTAGTACAAAACACACTTGGGATGGTGGTATGTGTTGTTTAGTACAAAACACACTTGGGATGGTGGTATGTGTTGTTTAGTAAAAAATATACTAGTGGCGGTGGTACATGTTGTTTAGTACAAAACACACTAGTGACGGTGGTATGTGTTGTTTAGTACGAAACACATTTGGGATGGTGGTATGTGTTGTTTAGTAAAAAATATACTAGTGACGGTGGTACGTGTTGTTTAGTACGAAACACACTAGTGACGGTGGTATGTGTTGTTTAGTACGAAACACACTTGGGATGGTGGTATGTGTTGTTTAGTACAAAACAGACTTGGGATGGTGGTGTGTGTTGTGTAGTCATCCTTAAGTCATCCTTAATTGACCATAGCTGTTCATTGGACATTAAACAATATAAAATCAAACTTGCTAAAATAGAAAAGGTATGGTGGTAATCAGCAGAATCAGGAGAAAACTAGGGGTGATGGTGCTGTTAGAAAACTTGCAAGGAATAGTGGATACTCCATACTAAATACAGGAGGGATGATGGCACTCAGTGTAGAATACATAAAACGAGGTGATACATATAGAATACAGGAGGGATGGTGGCACACGATGTAGAATACATAAAACGAGGTGATACATATAGAATACAGGAGGGATGGTGGCACCCGATGTAGAATACATAAAATGATGTGATACATATAGAATACAGGAGGGATGGTGGCACCCGATGTAGAATACATAAAACGAGGTGATACATATAGAATACAGGAGGGATGGTGGCACCCGATGTAGAATACATAAAATGATGTGATACATATAGAATACAGGAGGGATGGTGGCACCCGATGTAGAATACATAAAACGAGATGATACATATAGAATACAGGAGGGATGGTGGCACCCGATGTAGAATACATAAAATGATGTGATACATATAGAATACAGGAGGGATGGTGGCACCCGATGTAGAATACGTAAAATGATGTGATACATAGAGAATACAGGAGGGATGGTGGCACTCGATGTAGAATACATAGGGATAGTAGTACTCACTTTTAATGCACCATGGAAGTATAAAATGCACAAAGGAGTGTGATATCATGTATAAAATACACAAGGGATGGTGGCACTTAATTTAAAATGCACCAGGAATGATGGTACTTTATAGATATTATACAAGGGAGGATGGTACTGGGTGTAAAATGTATAAGGGAAGTTGATACTTATAGAATACACCAGGAATGAGGAATGGTGGTATTTTAAACCCATATGGTTGATAGCCAGGAAGATTCTGCATCAAATTCCTTTCTAATGTATCAAAATTGTTAGAGTACAAAGCAACAATTCATGAATAGCAAGTTTGCTGTTGAGATCTAAGGATTTTATTTTATGGATCATTGATTGTCAGATGAAGTATGAAGATTGTATATTAATTGGTACACTGGTAGATAGGAGGTTAATACTGGATACTGTTGGTTTAAATCCTGTATATATTTAATTTCAGACTCCTGGGAAAACATTCATACTAATGTTGTTTACACTGTCATCAAAATCATCAACATGACTAATGTGTTTGATTTCTCAATTTTCATTACTCTCATCTCAAATTGAACTAAGTACTCAGTTTTCCTTCAGACCTGGTTTCTACATTTATCACACACATATACAAAAGCACACACAACTCAAAGGCATACTTTGTTTAGTTGTTATAATGCTGATTTTATGCCTTGTAACTGTAAATGAAGGTTTCTAATGCTGTTTTCCGTGTGAGAACTTATTGGGCTGTGAGATTTGTGTGATTACTATTATGGTGCTGGGTGTTTGAGCAGGGCCAATAATGAAATGGTTTGTATGGATGTCCCCTTGGGAGTTGATTAATGCATTAATGAGGTATTGATGCACTGTCAGCTAATCTCTGACCCAGTGATTGGACTACTGCTGCCTGTATGATGCATGCTGAAATCAGGACAAAATGCTGCATGTTTGCTACACATTCATGCAGACCCCAGTGGGAATTCTATGCTGTAGACTAATTCAGATACCAGTCAGGGCTCAATGCTGCAGGCTACTTCAGACCCTAGTCAGGACTCAATGCTACAGACCAATTCAGACCCCAGTCAGGTTTCAATGCTATAGACTGGTTCAGACCCTAATCAGGACTCAATGCTGCAGGCAGATTCAGACCCTAGACAAGACTCACTGCTACAGACTGATTCAGAACCAATTCAGGACTCGATGCTACAGGCTGATTCTGACCCCAGTCAGTACTCTGTGCTACAGTCTGATTCAGTCCCCAGTCAGAAATCATTGCTGCAGGCTGACTCAGACCCATTTCTAGACTCCATGCTACAGACTAATTCAGACTCTAGCAAGGACTCAATGCTGTAGGCTGATTCAGAACCAATTCAGGACTTGATGCTACAGGCTGATTCTGACCCCAGTCAGTACTCGATGCTACAGGCTGATTCAGACTCTAGTCAGGAGTTGTTGCTGCAGGCTGACTCAGACCCATGTCAAGACTCAATGCTACAGACTGATTCAGACTCTAGTCAGGACTCAGTGCAGCAGGCTGATTCAGAACCAATTCAGGACTCAATGCTACAGACCAATTCAGACCTCAGTCAGGTTTCAATGCTATAGACTGGTTCAGACCCTAATCAGGACTCAATGCTGCAGGCTGACTCAGACCCATGTCAAGACTCATTGCTACAGACTGATTCAGGCTCTAGTCAGGACTCAATGCTGTAGGCTGATTTAGAACCAATTCAGGACTCGATGCTACAGGCTGATTCTGACCCCAGTCAGGAACCATTGCTGCAGGCTGACTCAGACCCCAGTCAGGAGTTGGTGCTACAAACTGATTTTGACAGCAATAAGGACTCGATACTACACTTAGATTTAGACAGCAATCTGAGCTCAATGCTACACACGGATTTAGACTGCAATCTAGACTCAAAGCTACACACAGATTGAGACAGCAATCAAGCCACGATGCTGCTCACAGATTTAGACAGCCATTGTGCTGTGATGCTGCTTTTTTGACTTCATGCTGAATCTGAGTCCTTTAATGGAACACATTAGGTAGCAGTCTGTTCAGCTATATTTTTCATTTATTTTATATTTTCAATAAGTTTGCAAGTATTGAAAATAGATAATTGAAAAAGAATTTCCAAATTTGTAGAAATGAACTTCTTTTGCACCTATACAGACTTTGCACAACCCTGGATGATCAAGATTGTCTTTCTCTCAATAATGCTTCAAAATGCAGTCTTTGATAACGAAGTTAATATCAGTGTAACATAGGAGAAACAGTTGTTAGGTAAAAATATAGTACCAGGAGTTATTACAGTTTCAAGGGGAAGCAATTTGATAAATGATAAACATAGTCTATAAAAAAAATAACAGATCTCCTTTTCTGTTGTCTTGGGTACATAAAAAACAATAACTTGTATATGATTTAGGGATAGGAAGGGAAATAACTCCAAAAGATTTTCAATCATTACAGTAGTAATACATTGGGTTTGGCTATAATTCTGAAATCAGGAGAGGGCCATGTACATGGATAGTTGTATATGTACAATTAACCAAAACCCAAATGCAATGGTACTATTTTCAAAATGCTGGTTTTCCTTCGGTTGCCATGGTAATCAAAATCTACTTTGTATCTGTGGGGGTGGAAATTATCTTCAGAGTGACAGTTCTAGTAACTTTTCAACTTCCTCATATTAATGGAAATTAGGAATCAACAGATAAAAGTTTGAATTGACATCTCAGATTTGATACACAATCATTCATTTTTATGCCGATTGCTTCACATGTCCTGTCATGAGGCATTTTATTTTGATAAAACTTAAATGCTAAGGACAGCTTTAATGTTGACTTGTAAAGATTTGTATGTGACGTGGTGACAGTTAAAGCATGGCTGTTTCTGGTTTTTAGCCTGCTTCTGGTATAAAATCATCAAAACTGCTCACATGACAACTCATCAGTATGTATACTCAAATTAACTAAGGACAGCAGCACATAAAATTTGACTCATAGTCAGGGGATGGGAGGACAATTATATGCCGCTTGTTGTTGAGTCTTTTGAGCAGCAAATATGTATTGTTGGGAATTTATTATTATGGATGGGCTTATTGCAAGGTAAGTAGAATTGACTATATCAAAAAGATTTTTTTCTTTACTGAGAAGAAAACATAGTATTTCTATGTATAGATCAAGATACCTTAATAATGTGAAAAGATTCAA